TATATATATATATATATATATATATATATATATATATATATATATATATGTATTTATATATGTATTTATACATATACATATATGTATGTACATTCGTACCTACCACATTTTTGTCTTTCTTCCGCTATGGCCCGGGATATGGATTTTTCTGCCACGTTTTTCACACAGTTTTAATGAAGCCACATACTTGGTATTGATCCCGATTTATGGCTTATAAAATTTGCATTCAGTTGTGTAAGGTTTTATGAAGCTCGCTTTACGTTTGCTACGCGAAAAATTGCTTCTTAAAAACTATAAGAGCAAAATGTGCTTCAACGCTTCTTCTTCGACACGACAATTGGTGGCTGCAGAAAGAATAAACGAGAGAGTGAGTGAGAAAGAGAGGCGAGCAGGCTGCGGCTGCGGCGGCGGCAGCGGCAGCACCACCAGCGACAACCAAATCGAAAAGCAACAGCAGCAAATGCGGCAACCGCAATGCTGATGACGTTTACTTATTTTGTTGATTTTTAAAATGTTGAGTCCAATGGATGAAACGGCGTCAATTTTTCTTTATGTGTATACAGTTAAAATTGAATAAATATACCTAAATTTGAAGCCGAATTCAACTATTTCTTCCTTTCTTTATTTTAACACACGGGTATGTGACGCGCCAGAAATGAGCAACTTATGTATTGGTATTGGTGCAGCTGTCGTCGTACGTGTTTTATTGCCCGCTTTGCTTTTGATACTTTGTTTGTTCTTTTACACGCAGTTTCTTGAACACACAGTGTTGCTTTTTTGCATTCATCAATGCCGCGACAATTGTGTTAATTTAAATATTAACACTTAATATCGCTCAGCTTTCAATCGTTATAAAAAATTCACAGCAATTTGAGGTCGGGACACATGAACCGAAAAACAGATATACGCAAATACGCCGACGCACACACACAATCAACTAAACATAAGCGTCAAGAGGTTTTTTTGTTGTTTACGTCGAACAGCTGTTCGTCAGCTGTGCGCGCAAACAGCTGTTAAGTTCGCCTGTTAACAGGTCTGTTTATTGGCATTCAAAGCTGACACCGCAGTTGGCAGTTTTGCCGAGGCTGTCAAGGTAGCCAGTGCTGCTAACTGTTGTTAACCATATTCAATTTTCGATACGATTTCAATCAATTTATTAATATTTGGTCAAGTCCACTTTACAAATTGTGTGTGGAACACAAGGGCAGTGCTCAAAAGTTGTCTGAGAATCAAGCATGTTGCCTATTCACAGAGTAAGAAAAAAGGGTTGTTCGATTCTCACCAATTGTATTTGCAGCACAGATTGAATGCCGCAGCGCACCATTTTTGACTTGCAATTCAGGATTGCAAATTTCTGTCTGGCATGCATAGAGGAGTTTAAATACATACATACATACATACATACATACATATATATATATATATATATATATATATATATATAT